TTAACCAGATACAGCAAAATCAGAGAAGCAGTCAAATTGAAAATTTAATTAGTAAATACTCGAATGTGTTTTCGACCACTACCGGAAAAATTAAAGACTTGCAAGCTCGTTTGTACCTAAAACCTAATGCAGCGCCGAAGTTTGTGAAGCACCGAAGAGTTCCTTTTCCGTTAATGGAAGCAGTGGAGAAGCAATTGGATGCACAAGTAGCAGAAGGTCTTCTTAAGAAGGTTGAAACCAGCGAATGGGCTACGCCAATTGTCGTGGTGCGGAAAAAGGGTGGTGGAGTCCGAATATGCGGGGACTATAAAGTTACGCTGAACCCGGTTTTATTGGTCGATGAACACCCACTACCAACAGTAGATGAGCTGTTTAGCAAAATGGCAGGTGGCGTACGGTTTTCGAAAATCGACTTGGAAACAGCATACCTTCAACTAGAGGTACATCCAGACGATAGGCACCTTCTTACGCTCAACACACACAGGGGATTGTACCAACCAACTCGTATGATGTTCGGCATCGTCAGTGCACCGGCAAAATGGCAGCGATTAATGGAACAGGCTATAGGAGATATTCCGGGAGTATCGGTCTTTTTGGACGATATAAAGGTGACAGCGCCAGAAGATGATACACACATACAACGTGTCGAGGAAGTACTTAAAAGGCTCGATCACTACAACATGCATGTTAACTTGGAAAAATCTCAATTTTTGAAGGACAGTATAGAATACTGCGGGTACGTAATAAGCAAAGAAGGCATTCGTCGAATGAGCAACAAGATCCAGGCTATACAGAATATGAAAGTTCCAACAAACCGTGAAGAAGTTCGTTCATTCATGGGGCTCGTGAACTATTATGGCAGATTCGTTAAAAACTTAAGCGACATAGTTCACCCAATCAATAGATTGCTGCTAGACAAAGTGACTTGGTCATTCGACAAAAAGTGCAAAGTGGCGTTCGAGGAAATAAAAAAGCAAATGCAATCAAACGTAATTCTTGCCCACTACGATTCAAAATTGCCGATCACGTTAGCTGTGGATGCTAGCCCAATCGGGGTAGGGGCGGTCCTTAGCCACATGTATGAAGATGGCACTGAGAGACCGATTCAGTTCGCGTCACAGACTTTAAGCAAAGTGCAACAACGCTATCAACAACGCTCGACAAAGAGGCATACGCAATTATTTTCGGAATACGTAAGTTTTACCAATATTTATATGGAAGGCAATTTACGCTCGTTACAGATAATCGGGCGATATCACAAATATTTGCACCTGGTAGAGGCATACCGATAAATTCAGCAACTCGTATGCAGCATTACGCGTTATATTTGGAACAGTTTGACTACAAAATCGAATGCAAGCGTTCGAAAGAGAATGGGAACGCAGATGCTCTTTTGCGGTTATCCAATGCAGCCACATCCGAACAGGTGGAAGAAGTTTACGTGGTGGAAGAAGAGTTGTTCGAAAATTTGCCGGTAACGGTAGCGGAACTTCAGCGTGAAACGAAAGCGAACGAAACAATAAGACGACTTTATGAGGGTTTGAAGTATGGCAGAAAGTGCGAGGCAAAAGATCGATTTGGCATCGAACAACACGAATTTACTTTACATAATGACTGTATACTGAGGGGAGTGCGCGTATACATTCCAAATAATCTACGACAAAGAGTACTGGACGAATTGCACACGGCTCATTTCGGTGTGGTCAGAATGAAAAGTTTGGCCAGAGCCTACGTATGGTGGTATCAAATGCATAAGGACATCGAGATTGTGGTGCAAAAGTGCATTGCATGCCAAGTCACCCGACCAGACCCTAAAAGAACAATGCCAGTACACAGTTGGAAAACACCCGGAAAAGTTTTTGAACGAGTACACGTAGATTATGCCGGTCCGGTAATGGGTAAATATTTGTTTATTTTAATTGACGCATTTAGCAAATGGCCGGAAGTCCATTTAGCTTCAAACATGACCACCGAAACAACGGTTGAAAAATGTCGCGAGATATTTGCGCAGTTTGGGGTACCAAATGTCTTGGTAAGTGATCACGGAAGACAGTTCAACTCGACCGAATTTCAAAAATTTTTGAAGAAAAATGGAGTCATCCATAAGCAAGGAGCACCGTATCACCCAGCAACAAACGGTCAAGCAGAACGTTATGTACAAACGATTAAGAATAAACTTATCGCAGCAAATTACACACCAGAATCGCTGAAAAGCGAGCTTTCAAAGATACTTATAGCTTACAGGCGAACCATTCACCCAGTAACTAACAAATCGCCATCGATGCTTATGCTAGGGCGGCATATACAAACACGTTTGGATTTACTTTTGCCGCAAAATGATCAAGCGAAATTCGGTAAGACGCTACCAACAAAGAGGATTGACATAGGGGAAAGAGTAGCAGTACGCGATTACCTGGCAAAGCCCAAATGGAAATTTGGAGTAGTTGAAGCAAATAAAGGCGATTTGCATTATAGTGTCAGACTCGACGACGGTCGAAAATGGACGAGACATATCGACCAAATGCGAAGATCAAGAGTATCAATCGACGATACGCCGGAAGATTCTTCTAAAGCAACAGGAATGCTAGCGGGAGGTCCAGTCAGCGAACAAATGGGAAGAGCTCAGAATCATTCATTATCGTCACATCAGACTCCAGATGCGGTCACAAATCACTCATCGCAATCATCATCTCAACCACATCAACCTGTCGAGGCACCACCTGAAGAAACACTTCGTGGAAAGGGCGGAGAAGAGGCTAACAAAAACCTACAGTCAGACACATCGCAAAAGCCGACATCGACAACAACAACACTGGAATCACCCGAGACCATGCTGCGCCGTTCGCAAAGGCAACGTAAAATACCAAAACGTTTATTATCATAAATATGTATGTACATTGCAACCAAGAATGATAGAATACAAGATTGCGCCGATCAGAGAGGATTTTAGAGAATAACTTTTGTGTGACGTCACACTGGTGCAATTGCGAGAGAGAAATGCCAAAACGTGAGCAAGAATGGAAGAAGAAGAAAAAATGTTGCAAGGAAAACGTAAACAAGTTGCACAAGTGTGACGTCATGCAAACAACGATTCTGTCAAATTCGTTAAGAGAGGAATAGCGGTCCGAGATCGGCGCAACCTTTGTATTCTCTCAATCGTGCATTGCAACCATTAATTCAATTCTAACTCTTGTAACTCTTGTTACTGAAAAATTGTAAACCCTAGGGGAGAGAGAGATCTTATGTACATATATGAGAGATACACTTAGCCACTTAAGCATAATATTCTACGTACACATACATACACACAGACGAACGAATAACGAAACCCAGCAAACACAAGAAAAAATATTCTCCAACGTTTGAGAAACCCTTAATTTTCAAGTTGAGTTTCAACATTCCTTACCATTTGAGAATTATCATTTTCTCTAACCCTATTCCTCAATTTGCCCT